CATCAGTACTACAGGCAGACTTACCAGAAGGAAAAGACACAGACAAGGTATATCCTAATGGTTCGGGTGTAGACGTTAACTTGGCAGCAAAGTGTAATGCAACAAAAGAATGAGTTGACTCAGAGTCAATAAGGACATGAGCTAAAAGGCCACAGATAGAAAGTGTACCTGACACAACATTTTCGGTAACTTCCGGTTTTCCAGGTCCCAAGGCGAAAGCCCGACCTTGGCGGTTTTGGTCCTTCTTTTCTCCTCCCGGTCCCACGGTTTTCCTGACTGGGCCAGAGGGATTGGCTGTAGGATTAACCATTTTTGGACAATCCCTTAACAAGTGGCCAAACTGTCCGCATCTAAAACATGCTCCCGTGTCTCGATGGCATTGTCCCCAATGAACCCTTCCACAAGTGGGGCAAGTTAGAATAGTGCCACCTCCGGGGTTGGTAGGACCGTGGTGGCCTGAGCTGGTTGTGTCCATGTTCACCTTTTTATGAGGTGCAACACCGGGTCTTCTGTTATCTCTTTCCCAGAATCGCTTCTTGTAGCTTGGTTCTCCGGAACGCGAGGCTTTAATTCCCTTTTTTGCTATGTACACCCGGTCCACCACTTCTGCATAGGTTGGCAATTTCAAAACTTCAAGCCTGTCTTGAATTCCAGCATCCAATCCTGCTTCAAATTTTCTTGCTTTTCGAGTTTCGGTGGGGATGACGTATATTGCAAACCCAGCGAGTTGTGTGAACTTGCTCTCATATTCGGCCACCATCATGGTTCCCTGCTTCAGATGTATGAATTCGGATGCCTTCTGTTCCCGCAATGAATCTGGAAAGTATTTTTCATAGAATACTTCCAAGAATCTTTCCCACGTCGTAATTTCTTCTTTGGCCAGAGTGAGAAGCCACCATTCCTGCGCATTGTCTTTGAAAGTAAAAGTGACGAAAGTTACCTGTTGCCTCTCAGTGCAGGGTAGAGCACGAAAAATCTTTTCCATGTCTTTAACCCAAACATCGCTACCATTGGGTCTGGGCCACCAGTAAATGTAGTGGGTTTCAGATCCTAGAACTGTTTGATGGTAACCGGCCCTTCTTGTCGTCCCGGCGTCCCATTGTTGATGTTAGCTTGCAAGGCTTGTAGAAAACTAGCAGCCGCTCTTTCCATTACTCTTTCCATCGATTCCGTACCGCTAACTGATGACTCACTTCCATTACCATTAGCCATTCTACAAGTAATACACGAGGTATTATATTTTCAACGCAGCATAGATATATATGTAACACAACATGTAGTACGCTTTATATTTATATAAACTGCCAACATTACACATTTTTATTTATTTATTTATTTTACAATTCCTATTACATTAGTCAGAATATGTTGGTGTCCCATCCCTGTGGTAAACAAAAGCAAAAGTCAACAAAAAGGAGATTAGAACATATCAAGATCAGCATACAAAAGATTTTCTACTATCCAGATCTAGAGTGGTGGGTCAGATGGGCCGAAAAACCAGGGGAAATAGTGCTGCATAAAAAGCTCAAACTCCCACCCCAACTGGACTACACCAAAACACATCCATGCTACCTGGACCATGAAAATGGGGATAGACCGTATATGACCCACAAATACTCGGTTGACAATCCAAACAGGTGTCTCAACATATGAAAGGTCATTTTCGAAGTCAACACTTTGCATATTAATGATCTCTAGTGGATTTGGGATTGTGGTGAAAATGTAATCCGCGGGGTACACGTTCCCCCTTCTGGCTGCAAACTTTGGGGGTAGAGGGCCTATAATATAATGCGGGCGGTCATGACCCGGGGCGACGCCAAGGACGCGAGATGGTCCGAGAAAACGTCTGCGTGTATGGACAAGGCTGTGCCTCCATAATAGGTGTGGAACGTCGGTAGGGTCAACCTGGATATAAATTGGCCGTCCCATTAACCGGCCAAGACCTGGGTGTAATTCCCTGACTATCTCCTCAGAATATCCCCAACCCTCAGGTGAGGCGGGGACGGAGGCAGGGTGTTCGGCTAAAATTTCATCTAAGTTGATGGCCTGGAGGTCATTCCAAAAAGCATCATCAAAGTAAATCTCTGATATCCTACAACACCAGAATAAACGTGAGATTTTACACAAGAAAACTAGCGTCATATGTAATTATTTATTATTATTTTAGTTTGATTATATATATATATATATTGTTTTTTTTTTGTGAACCGTTGCTCTGACACCACCTTTGTCATGGCCCAACCCTAGGGGTTTAGAGTTGGAATCGTGACCTACTAACTTATTCTTATTCAAACAAATTAAACTGCGCAAGCGAAAAAAAATATACTTAGACAGAAATTTTATTTCATACTACTATTTAAAAAAAAAAAGAAATACATTTCTAGGGCTTTCATTATTTTATCATTCAGTGACTAGCCCCGAATAGAGACAAAAAGAAGCAAAAATATATAAAAAAAAGAAAGATAAAATAGTGGTTTAACAACAGTCCATGAGCAGGGTCCATTTCGTGGGGTTATGGATTTCCCTTACATTTCGTCACCTGAAAGGGTAACAGCTACAAGCACACAGCAGAGTGAGAAATATTATGCCAAGAGTGTAAAACAACCATGGATAATTAGTTAGGCTAAAATATTTGTATATTTTAATTTAAAATGACAATTTATTTAAAGTGGCAGAATACAGAAAATATGTAAATAAATAATCATAACCACAGTATAAAACAGAACAGAACAGAGGTCACAAAAGTGACAGTCAGAA